ATACCGCACGGAGCAGAACGGCTCAGCTGAAACCAGTCAGACACAGAATCTGAGAGATGAGAAACTGTCATTGCTTTGGGCCATTAAATTTGGGAGTGGTTTGTTATAGTGCAATAACTAACTGAAGAACTCCCCATCTCCATTCAGCTTTCAGCCTCCATCAGGACCCTTGCTGTTCTCAGTATTTTGGAAATACACTCCTAAGCATCTGGCTCTAAGAAAGGCTCAGTGGATACTAGCTGAGTGTGTGAGTGTGTGTGTGTGTGTACACAGTCCACTTCGCTGTACACTCCAGGAAAGGTGCTTTAGAAAAATAACTGGCAACTGCGTGTCCTTAGTGTTTTTATATCACTCGGGGGACATCACAATTCTTTCTTGGCCACCACAATACCAGCTTAGAAGAACTGTAAAAGGGCGACACTGCTGAACACATTTTTATATGCGCCCACTGTTGACGGCTCTCACCGGTGTCCCGGCAGCCCTCTCTAGGCCTCACACCAGCGTATGCAGCTGAGTTCCCTGTGCGTTTCCCATTGTCAGGAGTAGGAAAGAACATTTACTTTCCTGAAACTAGGCTGTCTCTTTGACCTAAACTCCAGAATTCAAATAGAAAAGACTCTGATAACGAGGCTGCATTGTCAAAAGACTAGAAAACATTTCAAAGGCTCATTCAATGTACAGACCATTCGAACAGTAATCAGAGATTAAGATATTTCATTCATGTGATCTTTTTCTATTCTATTTTTATAGGCCTTAGGTCTTTCCTATACATGTTAAAACTGCAGGCGTCTTCTTTTTGATTTCACCGCCCCCCAAATATTGAAGATCCTAGCTAGGAGGTCTTTTAATGAACTGTTTAAACAATATGTCTCACATTTGGACAGTCCCTTATCATTTTGAAAGTACTTTTAAAATACTGCCTCCTTTGTTTCCATTTCTTTATGAATAAAATTCTTGCTTTGGGTCTTTTAAGGTTTGCCTTCTAAGGAAGGTAATGGTGTAGGGGCTACTGATCTAGCAGATGTGTGCGTGCTCCTCTCAGATGTTTCTCAGCCCATTGCCTTTTTCCCAGGCATTTGTACAGGCAGGAAATATGCAGATGTATTTTATTCCGGGATTTGTAGCAGCTAATCACTTTCCAACAATTATTTTGAAAAAGCAATGGCATCACTGATGCTTTACAATTATATAAACCCACAAGAGGGGAAGTGCTGCTTTACTTTCTTCAGCTGCAAAAGCACAAGGAGCCGAGTGTCAAGTAGGTCCAGGTGAGCGGCCCGATTAGACAGTATTAGCAAACTCCACAGGCTCTTGTTTCATTAGAGATACTGGAAGCGAAAACTCCACCTTTGATGCTTCTCCCATGTTTGAGAAATATAGTTGGCCCTCTGTATCTGTGGGTTCCACATCCACAGTGGAGGTGGGACCTGTGATTATGGAGGGTGACTATATAAGAGACTTGACCATCGGCCAACTTCAGTATCCGTGGGGGCTCCTGGAGCCAATCCCCCGTGGATACTGAGAGACGACTGTACCGCCATCATTACGGAGTTAAATCACTGGGAACCCAGGTGCCTCAGCTGCCTGTATATGGGATTTTACTCACTCTTCGCCCCCAACATCATTCTCCCATAAGCCCTTCCATGGATAATTTCTGGCCACTCACATGTCTTGGTTTTTTGCTTTTTTTGTTTTTTGATGTGGACCATTTTTAAAGTCTTTATTGAATTTGTTACAATATTGCTTCTGTTTCATGTTTTGGTTACTTGGCTGCAAGGTATGTGGGATCTTAGCTCCCCGACCAGGGATCAAACCCGTACCCCCTGCACTGAAAGGCGAAGTCTTAACCACTGGACCACCAGGGGAGTCCCCACATGTCTTTTTTTAACCATAAAAGACCACTTTTCCACCTCCAACCTCAAGAGGATGACTTTGGTGAGTAGAAACAGAGAAAAAAATGAAAGAATAAATCACAGAGCAAAGCTCTGGAGAAAAACTTCATCACATCACAGTGTGTTCTTTCCGAATTAAAGCCCTGACTTCGTATACCAACTCTGACACTTGGTACACTGGGTAAACCATCTAATTTATCAATTCTGCATTTATAAATTAGAATAGGAGTGGTATTTAATGCATAGAGTTGTTTTGACATAACATGTAAAATGTTTTAGCACGTCAGTGTTCAACCAATTGTTATTTTCCATCTTACATTCCACAGATACTGCATAGCAACTGGCATGTGCTGACTCTGTGTCAGGCATTTGGCAACATCAGGACACAGTTTGGCCATGTGGAAAAGCATAACATATATACTGGAAACATGAAGCAGCATGAAAAGTAAACAAGAACACAAGGGAAGTACACACTGAGTGGGAACATATGTGGTCAGAGAAGACTTCTTAGAGGTGGCAGACTTTGAAGAAAGTGCAGAGTTTTGGTAAGTGTTAGAGGGAAAGGGAAAATAACTTCATGAGCACAGAGTTGGGGGTGATCATGGCTGTAGATGAAAGGTCAGACTTTGAACAAAGATCTGGATGTGTGCAGTGTGTTTGAGGGAAACCCTACTGACCAGGCTCCTACATTCTACCCACCTATAAAATAAATCTCTTGTGCTTCAATGGATCATTGTACTCTCTTGCAACTTCAATACCCAAAGGAGGTATAAGTAAACCCTAGGGGTCAATGATACAAAGAAGCAAGTATTTTACAAGTAATGGGACACAAAAGAGCAGACTAGGAGAGCATGCAATGAGACAGTCCCAGTCAAACACAGAGCTACACAACAGAGGAGACAGTTACCTGAGTGTGGGAGTTTCCATCCTTAGGTGAGGGGTCTTAGACATGAATGAGAAGAATTCTCTTGTAATGTGCAAGACAACTATAAGCATGAGAACTATACATTCTTACACTGGTGTTCAGACCCTATTCTTGTTAATTCCTGTTCCCCTCACTGTCTCTAATATACTTGATGACTGTTTTACATTGAATTCTGGATGGGAGAAATGAGAATGGATTAAATATTAGATAAAATCATAGGTTTCACAAACATGATACTAGAAAAGGTTGTTGTATTAGAAATAAGTTCTCATTGTGTTCAAAGGCCAAGCTAGTCTGGGAACAGAATGAATGTTATCTGTCCATACCAAGAAGATTCCAATGGCCAACAGCCCTAATAGATGCATAGATGCATGCCAACTTAAACTAAAGCACAGCAAAGATTTAGCAACCAAAAGCAAGGCAGTCTTAGCCAAAGCATTAAGCACATGATGTAACAATAGAAAATGAAACATTTTAAGGCTAGGGAGTAAAAACTTTTTTTGATCATGGAAGAATCAAATTAAATTTATTTTTAAGTCATTTTGGCTGGATAGTGTTTATCAAGAGACTATGGATGAAAGTGGATTGGGTGTCGATGAAAAGCAAGGGCTCCGTGAAGCCAACAGATTCAAGACACATTTTCCTCAGTACTATTTTGGACTTTATTCCCCCCACAAGCTTTCAAATTTCAATCACTACCCCACTGAGTCTGGGGAGAAACTGATAAAGAAAATAATATAGCAGACAATCACAAGTGAATTGAATTTGAGCACAATTGAGATGAGCTACAGTGTTTAAAAATAGAATCATTTCAAAAATGGGCTTAAGGAAGAGTGTTTTTCTCTTATGTGTTGCTAAAATGTTTGAGACAAGAAAGCAGGGAAGGAATTAGAAGGGTGGGCAGGGGGGAGGGGGGAAGGTTGTGCCCTGACTTGGCTAAATATTTATCTAATTCCTCTCAGCTTTTTTATTTTTGGACACTTCTTCAATCTACCTGAGCAGCACTGGAAAAGGAAATTGTTAAAATAAAATGATGTTGCCTGTAATCACAAGTGAAATGAATTTTTCCACATGGGCTGTAGTGCGTAAAAGCCTTTTGTTTTTAAGATTTTATATATATATGTAATCGCTGAAGTTTTGAAGAGGGAAAAACAGAATCACAAACTCATAGACTCTTAGAACTGATGGGAACCTTAGAAATTATCTTACTCAGTTCCCAAATTGGGCTGTACCATCAGGATCCTCAAAAGAACTTAAAAATATTATTTCCTTTTCCTACTCAAGAGCTACTGAATCAGACTCTCTGAGGCCGAGGCTCCAGAATAGGTCATTTAAAAGCTCTCCAAAAAAACTTTAAAGAAGCTGCTGTCTCCTGATTCAATGCATCTCTCATGATTTACTGTAGAGGAATCCAAATCTCAGAGCAGAAAATTCATACAAATATTAAGTGACAAAGCAAAACACTGAACCTAGCATTTCTGAATCCTGGTGCATTACACTTTCCACTACTCCAAAAAGAGAGGAATGAAGGGCTATAAACATCCCTAGAATAATATGGATGAAAAGAAATCTCTCTAGTAAAGTGTGGAAGACCTCAGCTGACATGATGTAGGATTTCCAGATCAGACATCGACAGGGCTAGGTAAGAAGTGCTTGGCCCTTTTCAAGGCTGAAAGCTGAGGAAATCAGCACTGGCTATGGTTTTGTTGTTGTTGTTGTTTTTGGTTATTGTTGTTTTTTTGTTTTGCCACACCATGCGGCATGTGGGATCTTAGTTCCCCAACCAGGGATCAAACCTGTGGCCCCTGCATTGGAAGCACCGAGTCTTAACCACTGGACCACCAGGGAAGTCCCAGCACTGCTTTAGTGGGAAGTTGTAGTGCTGTGTCTCTGATTTTGGTCTCTTGGAGTGTAGGTTCATTGGGCAATAATCGTTTCTTTAATTAATGGACAATGTAATTAACAAACTATAGTCCTGAAATAAGCTCAAGCCAAATGATATGAAGATACAGGTGCAAGGCCTTACCCAGAAGGCTTAGGTCAGGAAAAACCCAGTTCTGTAAAATATCTACAAACCAAATCAACATTTCCTGTAAGCAGCTCTTTCTAATTGAGGAAGCTGTTCATGCCAATAACAGAGTCTCAGAATTTGGAGGCAACCTTAAAATTCATTTAGTACAAACTTTCACCCAGTCAGGAATCTAGTCCACAACACCCATGCCAGCTGGGGGGCTGGACTCTGCTAGGACACGTTCAGTGATGTGAAAATCGCTCTTTTTTAAAGGTAACCTATTTTGTTGTCTCATCTATTATTGCTAGAAAAAGTTTCACCGATTAATAAAAAGTTTTCTTCTCTGCAATTTCCAAACTTTCATACTCTTTCAGGAGGGCTCTTTTTTTTTTTTTTTAAACAAATTTGTTTCTTGTACCAATAGCAGCTCCCAAAATATTTGCAGAAAGCTATCAAGTGATCCCCTTCTGTACTTCTCCTTCTGTGCACTTCTGCTGATTTCTACCATGTTCCATAGTGTGTTAGCCTGTCATTTATATTACTAGTATATGATTCATCATACTACAGATGAGTGTATGGGACCTCTCCCACCCAGTAGACTGTGATCTCCTTCAGGATGGACAACATGATGTATTTAATCGCCCCTGTATCTCTATTCTCTAACATAATGTGTGACACAGAACAACAGGTATTTAAATATTTTTGGTAATTGAATCACACCTCATCCTACTTTCAAGTTACCTCTTCTTTGGGATAAATACCCTAAATTTCTTGAATCTCAAGGCTTCTTGAGATAAGCACTGTTTTGTTCATCATTATACCATAACATCTATCACAGAGCACTCAATTAATACTGTTGAATTAATTTGGCAATGTGTTCCAGGTCCTTCATAAATCTTATCATTGTCTTCTTCTGGACACAGTGCATTTTAAAGCCTCTTTTAAAAAATTAGTACCAACCCAAATGGGGTCTTGACGCACAGGGGGAGTATGGCTTCCCTTGAGCTAAATATTATGTAGCTCAGATTTACATTTGGCTTTTCAAACAGCCTTCTTATGCCTTTGGTTCAGGTTGACCTTAAAGTTATTGAAATCTGAAAGTCGTTTCTCATAAATATTAACAGTGATATTTGCCCAATCTTGAACAACAGTTGCTAATTTTACCTAAAATATAAAGTACAGTTTAAGGTATACAAAAGGTTATACAAGGCTATATTAAAATCTAAACATTTAATACAGCATAGTGGTTAACTACTCGGGTTCAAATTCTGGCTGTCACCTACTAGCTTTGTAACCTTGGATAAGTTACATCACTTTTGTGAACATCAGTTTCCTTGTCTATTAATTGGGCATAATTATAATACCGACTTCATAGCTTTCTTTTTAACTTGGAAAATATGTATTTGACAAGGGCTTTTGAACAGAATATATTTTTTAAAAAATTCTTATAAGCCAATAATAAAAGTCAACCCAATAAAATGAGCAAAATATTTTACAGACTCCTGATAGATGGACATAATACACTAGGTCAAAGGAAGTGACACCACAGGCCTTTAGGGCTGTGGTGGTAAAGTGCGGGGGAGGGGAAGCATCCTCCAGTACTGCGATTAGGTTTACTAAGATGAGTCTTTTAGTGAGCCTATGCCTCTGGACTATGAACTTCACAAATATTTCTCAGTTATTTTTCCTCCCCCCCTTAGGTGGAACAGGATGGCTAGAGTGGGCTGGAGTTTCCCTCCTCCTAGGTCAGGTAGGCTCTGATAAAACTCTTGCTGGTTAGGCCTTGATAAAATAGTTTTCCCTGAGGGCAGACCTTGCTAAGAACAGTACATTCTGGTGCTTTTCAAAATGAGAGATTTTTCTCTGATACTCACTGTGAGGGCCTGGTAGAGCTTCTGGAGGTAAAACTGACAAAAGTGTGGGAGCCCTGCTAATACTGAACCTCTCTGGGGATTTTTACTCTCAGGTTGTCCACACCGAGCCTCCAGCAATTTGTCAATTACAGTTCCGATTTCCCTCTCCCAGCACTGGTTCTCATACAGGCTTCAGCTCACAGGTTTCTGCTCTGGTAAGCTGTGATTCTTTGGGGGTTTTTTTGTTTGCTTTGTTTCTATTTATTTATTCTTTTTAAATGAAGTATAGTTGATTTAAAATGTTTCAGGTATAGAGCAAAGTGATTCAGTTTTATGTATATACACATATATATTTTTTCAGATTCTTATCCATTATAGGTTATTACAAGATACTGAATATAGTTCCCTATGCTATACAGAAGGTCCTTATTGTTTATCTATTTTATATATAGTAGTGTGTATCTATTAATCCCAAATTCCCAACTTATCCCCCTCCCTTCCCCCTTTGGTGGCTATAAGTTTGTTTTCTATGCCTGTGAGTCTATTTCTATTTTGTAAATAACTTCATTTGTATCATTTTTTTAGATTCCACATATAAGTGATATCATATGATATGTGATTCTTTGTCTTTGCCTGTTGGTCTCTCCAATTTGGGGAACAGTAGTTTGCCCTGTGACCTCACTTCTCTTAGGGCTCTAAGAAGAGCTGTTAAATTTTCAGTTTGTTCTGCTTTTTTTTACTTGTTGTTAGGATGAAGTGGTGACCTCCAAGCTTCTTACATGCTGGATAGGAAACTGGAAGTTCCTTCATAGCCTTTTTTGTGCTTAGTACATAGCATTTTTTGAGATAGCGCATGTACAATGCTTTCTTCTATGTCTAGCAGATAGTAGATGTTAAATAAATGCTTATGATTTTACATGTTCGGGCCTATTATTCTAGTTTGGCAAGATTATTTGAACCCTGCCTATCAAAATGCTTATTAAATTGACCCTCCTAACTTTGGGGCAAATGAAGATGTAATTAGCCTGCCTCCTGAGTTTTCAGACATGGCATTGATTAAAAAGACATTGAGGGCTTCCCTGGTGGCGCAGCGGTTGAGAGTCCACCTGCCGATGCAGGGGACACGGGTTCATGCCCCGGTCCGGGAAGATCCCCCATGCCGCGGAGCGGCTGGGTCCATGAGCCATGGCCACTGAGCCTGCGCGTCCGGAGCCTGTGCTCCGCAACGGGAGAGGCCACAACAGTGAGAGGCCCGCGTAATGCAAAAAAAAAAAAAAAAGAAAAAGACATTGAGATAGGAGCTCTGATCCAAGTTATCTTAGCCATACTGATTCACACTTTTTTGGATATATTTATTTAATCACTTGCATACATGAATCTACAGCATAAACCATAAAGCTTCATTGTCTTCTTCCCTACAAATTTAATCTCAGTGTATCAACTAATATGCCGGCGTGACTGACACTGTGAGAGGCACTGTCTTGTTCTACCACCAGACATATGGCCCATGTCTTGTGTTGATGCAGGAAGGCAAAACTAGCTCTCTTGTAATCAGTAGAGGGACTACCTGTAAATTCAGATAAAAAGAGCCATCTGATCACCACTGCTGCTCTGGGCAGGACACTGCAAACCATGGTAAACTCCACGTTGCAGGAATAGGCTTGTATGCTAGAAGCAGTGCCACTATTTTTACCCTAATTCCAGAATGTCTTGTGTCAATCTCTATATAATTTGAGCATAAGTCTTGATTCTCTATGAATGCTACAAGCAACGTAAGGGCAAGCTCTGTATATCCCATCAACATCACTCTCACTCTTCCCCCTTTAAGGGAAGGAAGCTGGTGATGAGACCATCCACAGGGTCTTGTGAGATCTAAGCAGAAGTTGGCCTTTTGGAGCCCACTGATGTCTGCAAGCTCTTCTCCCCACATCACTTTTAGATCCATGGACCCAGAATGTGAGTGAGAAAATCCTTACACCAAGTGAAAATATGAGATATTGTTAAGCTTCCTGCCAGATGATACATTACTAAGACAACAATGCAATGAACACACACACACAATCACATGTCATTATTGGTCATTACTGGTATCCACATCTGAAAACAAACAATAGAACTACTCACAGCTTCTAGACCCTAGAATTCTCTTTTCAAAGCCGTCCACGTTCCTGTCTCCTGCCCACATCTCTCCTGATATACACTCTGCAAAAGCCAGTTAGAAAATATGTACTGAATATTTATGTTGTGCCTACTCATGCATAAAGCTCTTGGCCAGCTTTAGAAAGTTAAAAAAAAAAAAAAAGAAGATTTTCTGGCTTCAATGAGCTCACTGTCATCTGGAGGGAAGGGACACTACATGAAAGAGTGGTTCATCATTCTACACTGTGTCCAAGAACTGAGGGCCGGACTGCGTATTACAAACCTTAAGTGCCATAGGGCTTCTGAGGAGAAACAGCACAGTGCCCAAGGCATGACTGGGGAAACTGAATGGTAAGGGTGCCTTTGCAATTCATTGCAAAAAGATGAACAGGATTGTGTATAGTTTCCAATTTTTTTCAATCATTTAACTGCACTGCAGCCTACATACATCCTGTTGCTTCCTTTTATTCAGAAAGAAAACTAAATAAATTCAAAGCCAAAAGTTAGTTGCTGACCCCAGGCATATGCCTAAGAGAGCTGCCTCCTCTTTCCCTGGAGTTTCCAGGGTAAGTAGCCTGGTGGAAGTCAGCAGGGAAACAGGGTGAACACCAATTTGTGTGCTGATTTTATAACAAGATTATTTCCTAAATCACAGGCAAGAGTCTACATACCAAGAAAGCATTTTTGGATACAGAATTATGTTTTTAATTTATGTTGAAGTTGAATTATGATTTTGAAATCTATTTATACCACACACGCACATGCAAAATAGAATTATTTAAGCGAAGGGAAAAAGTTACTCCTCAGCTGATAAAGCCTGAAATCCCTGCCCATAAAAGAAAGGAAGAAAGGTTTAGATGTGCTTAGTAGAACTGGTTGATTTTAAACACTTAATGCATTTCCTAAAAATGTGCTCATTTAGAAATGTGTATCTTCTAAATACTTTATAGGATTAAAATGGTCTTAATGCAAAGAATTAACCAAGACTGCATCAGTGGCTATGAGCAGAAAATGGCCAGGAGATAGAAGCTGGGGTCAGAGTATCAGCAATTATTCAGTCAACTAACGTTTGTCAGAAGCTTGCCACACGTCAGGTACTGGGATGAACGTTAAGCTTTCTTAGAGACAACGTACTGAAGCAAAGCAGAAATTATTAGGAGCAAGTTAAGTTTAGATTTTGAGAGCTCTGTGTTCAGGGGTCAGTTCTAAGCAAGCAGAGAAACTCATGATGAGAGAAGCTGAGTCAGAAACCACAGGAAATATTCACATGGTGAACATTCTTAATGCACCTCAATGACCAAAGCGGGAAGAAAGGAAAGGACTGTGACTTCAAACCATTGCTTTACCGGAATTATTTTGATACTTCTAAGTTAGAGCATTTCCAACTACTTCCTATTTTAGATATGCTACATGGCAGTGATAATTTTTCTCATCCTCTGTGACCCTTCGATGTTTTTTACCAAGAAATGATCAGTTTATTTAACAAAATAAATAGATACATATATACACACACACATACATGTATGTATATTACATATACATATGAGTATATGTGTGTGTATGTATTTGTTTATATATATATGTGTATTATATATTACATAAATGTATATATGTTTGTATATACACACACACACACACATATATATGCTGGGTTAACAAGTAAATATTTTGGTGTGTTTTTAAATGCATTAGTATGGGTCACAAAACTTACTTAAATAGATGAAAACAAAGCCTAAAATTACTGAAAAATGAAATTAGTTTCATTTCTCTTTTTTCAGTTATAATTATCTACAATTACCTAAGTATATAACATTACTTATTATCTGTAAGTATCTATAGCTTAAGAAATAAGGAGATATCTAACCATTTTCCTTTCAGACTGTCACGAACGGTTAAACAATTCCAGCAAAGCCAAGGAAAGCAAAGCAAAGGGGTACCATTCCACGCAGAAACATTGCTTCTGAGACACGGGAGTGTGGAGGGGGAGGGGGAGCTGGGACAGCTGCCGGCAGGTAACAGGCGCTGGACTTAGAATCCAAACAAGAATGTCCGCTTGCTGTGGCTCAGATCCTTCTTCACAGCTGGGTTTGGCCAAGAAGAATGCCGAGAGGCTGACTGAGCTCATCTCCAAGGAACTGAGCCTAGATGTCAGTTACTCCCCGATACAGGGTCCAGTTTATAGCAGTGCGCAGGGGTTGGTCTGAGGGCTCTCATTCCAGGTGTGGCACCTGGAGCCAACAACTGTGCCAGTGGCACAGTCTTTCTAAGCTGCCTTGAGTTGAGGGCTGTGTCCCCACCGCCTGCCTGGCAGTGGGGCACAGATGGCACTTGCCCGCAAGGCCTGCCTGAGGAGCCGGGAGCAGCTCCTGAGCTCCTGTGTTAGGGAGAGCATAGTGCATATCCTCAGGCTTCCATGCTGTCCAAGAGGAGAGAGGCCCAGGATTGCAATCTCACTAGCCTCCTTCTTCTTTAACATGTGCAAAGAAAGCCAAAAACAATGAAATTAAATTCTGTTGACTTCCCTCAGAATTGCACATGAGTAGCAACTGTTAATGAAAAAGGCAAAGAAATCTCATTCCATTATCTAATTTTCTAGTCGGAGACAATAATTTGCTCTTTTCCTGACATTGTTTGGATAACAAATACTCTAATGTAATATTACTTCCAAACTCCCCAAACAAGTGAACGGTAAAACAAAGAATACAAAATCAAAATGTAAACTGTGGGGAAATTCTGGGATGAAAAAATTTGTTGGGAAGAAAACATCAGCTAGTATATTCATAATCTCTAATGAGGAGCGAGCATCCCTGATAGGAAGTCCTGGCTTGGTTTTTTTCAGTCCTGGTAATGGTGGTCTCCACACTGTACTGGCCTACAAGATGGACAGCTGGGTTAGGAGCATCTTCTCCCTATTAAAGAGGAGACCACAGATTTTTTGATAGATTCATGAAAATCTTGACTCTCATGAAACCATTCAATGCTACCAAAGTCAAATGTATATTTGGGGAGGTGTGGGATAGTGTAGTGTGGTATGGCATGATCCTGGTGAATCTTTTATTGGAACATTCCCACATCATCCCCAAATACACATAATTGAAACATGCACTGCTTATAAATATGCATCTTTATACTCCTTGAGCCACCCATTTGCCTTTTATTAATGTGCACAATTATCACTCACATCATTCAAGCAACCTTCAGTATGGACTGAAACCAAGAGGGCCACACAGCTTTCTTTCCAGAATCTGTGTTTTAGCTCTGACCAAAAGTCAGTTGACAGAGAGAAGGTCTTCTTATTGAACTTAACAGTGCAAAAAGGAAAGAACATATAGCAAAAGGCTATAAAGGTAGAAACAAAGCAATTTCAAATTTGCTTCCTTGATAAGTGACAGAGTGGACATCCCTAGACATTTAGACAACTGCACACATCCTCATACCCTGACATCTTACTGCATATCAATGTAATGACATGGCACCCATTGGCAAAATAGTGTCAATAGGATTAATCTGCAAGATTTTTGTTGTATTATATTATGACATATCCTTGCTATCTGAATAGGGATGCTGAGACTAATAGGATTTGGACCAAAGCCAAGAAAAATTTCAACAGAAAACCTATAGACCCATGAATTTTTAATTAATTTTTGGCTGGGGCAATGTTGCCATTTATAGGCTTCAGCAGGAGATGAAGTCTCCTGTGTAGTCAGGAGAACAGAAAAGACAGTGTGATCTACTGCACCATGCTGAAACAGGATATACGATGTCTTTTCACCTGAAACAGGATGTGAGATGCTTTCTCTTCACCTACCCCAATCAGCTAGTTCTGCAATTGCAAGGTCAAATCCCCAAACACTTCTGCATGTAGCTCTGAAATCATTCATGGCTTAAATACCAGAATGGGGATTACTTTTTATGAACATGACTGTTTTGTTTTTAAATTAAAAATTAACAATAGTAATGATAATATGGAAATATTAGAAACTTTAAGTACAGTATTGAAAAAAGAGGTGACACATACCAGCGGTCTATCCAAGAATGGGTAAAAAGAAGAAAGGTCTGGGAGACCTCAGGAACACTCTCCCTTAGGAAACTCAGATAAGGAGTTGAATCTGTAGAGGTTTTGATTCAACGTGAGTCAACAATGTGATGTGACTGCCAAAGGAACCTCTTTAGATGAATTAACAGAAGTATAATGTCCAGATCCATGAAGGTGGTAGGCCAGCTCTCTTACACACCAGAGTAAGTTATCTAATTCTGGAAACTAGGATGGAAAAAAAAGTAACAGTCTGTTTTGAGGTGCTGGATTAAAATAGTTAAGGGTCTAGAACTGTACGATTTAGTGCACAACTAAAAGGAGAGAGGACATTTAGCTGGGGGCAGAAGGTTTGGAAAGTTAATGGAATTCATATTGAAATATGTGAAGGTTATCTGGGAGAGGAGGGGACGGGCATACTGTATGGCTCTAAGAGGCCAAACAAAGTCCAGCTGATAGACATTGTAGTATGTGAGTTCTTTACTCCATAAAAGGGATCACTTTGACTCTTTTGGGGAGGCCATCCATTGCCTCTCACAGCAGTGCTCAGGTAGAGACGAAGCATCCACATAAGGAGGGTACAGTGTCAGACAGAATGAACTTAAAGGTTCCTCCAGTGCAGCAATTACACTCATGCAATTCCCCCAGTTCTCCACTTCTCACTCAAGGTTGTCAGAGAGCAGGTCTTCTCATGTAGTTTTCATCCATGGTTCATTTTCTTTTCATTTTCCAAAACTGCTGCTCTCATCACAGGGTGCAATAGCACACCATCTTCTCACGCATTCTTGCTCCCTAAGGAATGTGTTCCAGTTTGGGTAATTACATTCTGCCAGCCTAAATTATCCCTGCAGTTTACATTGAGTAAGGCATTTTTCTTTTAATATCTATCCTAAATTGTTGCACAGTGTTTCTGTGTACCAGTAAATATTACATATGTGCCAAGGTAATAGTCAGAACCTTGGAAACAGCTCACCCAATTTAGAGGAGAACAAGAAAAGACTAAACCTAATTAAAATTTACTTCGATTAGTCATACTCCTGCATGTTTGGGCCTTTATGCTGGAAGTTAAGAGAAATAGGCTTCCTATAACCTGCACTTATTTTCCTAGGCTTTCTGAATTTTTTCAGCTCCCATTGTTTTCCAATTCCTATTTCACCCAAAGAGCACCCCAAAACCAGTTTGTGAGTGGTTGGAAAGAGTGATGGGTCAATAGTATAAAGGTGTAGGGAAGAGGCTGAGGTTTGGCCTGGACCCCTTCATCATGGTCGTAATTCTTAAATACAGCTCTGCAAAGTCTGTCATAGTCATGGCTGTTCCAGTCAGAGGGTATAACCCTTTTACATTTTTTTCCCCTTTTGCTTGTCTGCCTCCTTGTTAAGAGTATTTATTCTAGTTACTTTCATTGCTGACCTTGGGAGTTTATTGCAAATATTATTTCTCTTGTTTGCTTGCTCTCACTCTCATACACACACACACACACACACACACACTCTCTCTCTCTCTCTCTCTCTGGTCTCTGACCTCATTTCTTTAATGGTCTCAGTATCTCTGGATAGCATTTTTTCCATCCACACATCATTTTTCCATCCATGTTTTGCATTAAGGCAAGAGGCACGTCTGGGCACACAGAAGCTTGTTTGGAGGTTGTGAGCATCAGTGAACAGTTGGCACATGCTGGTACTTACTAAGGTATGTGATAGTTAATTGATCATTGGCTCTGAGGTTCTGGAGAGCAGGGGCTGGGTCTGCTTACCCTTGTCTGTCAAGGGTTAACACAAGGTCTAAAATAAATGGATGTCGAGGAAATGCTGTTTGAACTGATATGAACTGAATGGAAGAAGTGAACTGTATGAGTAAGACTCTAAACTTCAAAATCCCAAAGCCCTCTTAGGCATCCTGCCCCATGTCTGTGAGCTCTTAATTTCCAAGCTCACCCTTCCTCCTTCAAGACAGACCTGGAGAACCGGGAGATCTCAGTTCTTGCTTAGACCCTGCTACAGACTCCGTGTTAGTCTTAGGAAAGTCCCTTCCTTTCTGGGCCTCAGATTCTCTAAAAGTGAGGAGGGCAGGATGACATCATGCCCACTGTGGTCCTTCAGGCTCTGACATTTCATGTTTCTCCGGGCAGATGCCTTAACTTACAGTGAACAGCAGGCAGGTATGACTGGGCTGCCATTCAGGCCTGAAGTCGCTAATTAGGCAAGGAACACTACATACGTTTTACTTCATCTGAACTTTAGATAGTTTTTGCTTTACAGTTTACTCTTTCTTCCACACAATTTCCCTATCTATTCTAAACTGATTCACAAATGGTTGCAAGAATTTGGGGGCTTACGTTGACTGTTCTGCAATTCAGACAAGTGATTAGAATATTCCCAGCACATACACTTAATCAAAACAAGCCCAATTAAGCTCACTACTCCAGATTCCACCTCATTAGCTTTCTGTTCCTAAAATATAACAGATGTCATTGCTGCAGGCCCGGAGGTACAGACACATTTTTCAGCTAAGCACTTACAATGCAACATAAGTTAGAGGAAGATTTAATTATTACTTTCATTGTCATGGCTTCCTATGGAAGCTCATTTTTCACTTAATAGCAATCTCTTTCTACCTAGTTGCCCACTGCCACCAAAATACCCTGTCTTTCTCCTCAAATAGTGAGTTCATAAAAAGTGTTATTCCCCTCCTCTCCTTTTTTGCCTCTTTTGCCTCTCCTTTTTTGGTAAGTTGATTTTGGTTGCTCCTGAATTTATCTGACCCTAAACTTTTATTAAGTGAATGGAAGAGGAAGAAACAGAATGCAATGATTCCCTCTCCTTTCTTAGTAACACTTGGGCTTGTGTATTGGCTACTCTGGCACCCACACTCAAAGAATCGTTCACAGCTCGATTTTTTCCCACTGCTCTTTGCACAATGTTGTATTGTAGCACCTAGTTTGCATTGCAATTCCTTTTATCCATTTGTTTTCTCCTCAAGGCCATCAACTCTTCTAAGCCTGGGCCCTAACCCTTTTTGTTTCGTATTCCCAGCGCCAAGCACACACTGGTACACACTGGATACTTGCTTTGAAGAGTGAAAGGAAAATAAATAAAAGGAACTGAATCAAATTCTGCTCTGAGCAACACAAGAAACAAAAATGCTTTATGTGACAGGGGGAGTTGACAGCTGATTCTTATAAGTGGAATAATTACTGATTATTTGTCCAACAAGCAGATAGCTGTAAATCTCAAGTCTTATACAGCAGTCACTGATCCAATCAATTTTCTAATCAATGTCATCACCAGGTCACTTGTTAAAAAATTACATATGTTCTTATTTATTGTGGAAATGCCATATTTTGAGATTCTAACATTCAGAGAAATAATGAGTGTTCTGGCATGTCCTACATACAAGCAGCCCCCCACCCCCCACTACTCTCACAGCCCACAAGAAGTATGTCACACTGAGCCTCCTTTTCAAGGTAAATTTAGCACTTTACATGTTTCAGAATTGGGTTTTATCCATGGATATGTCTCTTTCTCTTTCTCCCCTCATTTTGTATTTTTAGGTAAATACTTGTTCTCTAAAGAGACCCTACATAGTTTTCTTCCTAGAAACAGTAAATAATAAGAAAGACTCTAATACAGCCATACCCTATAGACGTATTGCTTATTTTTCCTTTAGATTTGCAGGTGTCTGTGGGCTTAGAATTTATAAATCAGACACATACCATACAAACACATATGCACATAGTGAAAACATAAAAAACATTATTTGTGATTTTAAAAACTGACAAGAACTTGTACATCCAAAAGCGTCTCTTTCTTTTCAGTGGAGTCTTCTTGGTGAGTGGAAAATCATTCCCAAAATGCTAACCTCACTCAGAACTCTCCAAAGCCTCCTTTAGGAAATTTCTGAAAAGTTATGTGTGAGTCAGCTCAGTATATTGTATACTGCCATATACTGCCATAACAGTATACCACAGAACAGGTGGCTTAAACAATAGAAATTTTTGTCACAGCTCTGGAGGCTGGAAGTCCAAGATCAAGGCACCATCCAATTCAGTTCCTGGTGAGGACCTGCTTCCTGTCACCTTTTCAACGTGCTCTCACGTGGCACCTTTGTGTGTGGGCAGAGAGGGAGCCACTGAGCTCTTGAGTGTCTCTTATTAGAAAGGCACTAATCCCCTTGGACAAGGGCCCCACCCTTGGACTTTATTTAACCCTAATTACCCTCTATGAAGGCCCCATCTCCAAATATAATCACACTGGGGACTAGGGCTTCAAAATAGGAATTTTTGAAAACAAAATCTTTGGTCCGTTACAAGCCAGTTTCAGGAAAATAGTACAGAATTTCAACTGGATTGCCTTGAAATTGGAAACTTTGTGTTTCAAGAGGAGAAGACATTGCTTTTCTCTTTAGTTACCCTTACTCATCTGGCTTATTCACCTGACTTGGCTTCAAATAATCTTTGGCAGTTTCTAATATTGAAGTTCATCAACATGTAAAAAATTATCACTATGGAAGAAAAAAAGAATTATTACAGAGTCTGAAGACAATTTTCAAGGAGGAATTCAGTATTTATTTGGGATGATCGTCATATGGTTGGAATTAGCGTATAGAAGTCCGGGTTGACTATTACACTGTAAGGAGAAGCATTTAATCAGATTGAAGATGTGTGGTATGTTTATCAAGGCAACCAATGGCCTGTGTGTATAGTTATACCTTCTAGTCATAATACATCTACAACATACCTGTAATTAAATAGCATCATGTTATATAACAGGCAGCAGAGCACAGTGAAGGTAAATACTAATGATATTATTTTTAAATTCCTTGAAAGTAGGAGAGTATTTGTCTTGTTCATGACTTTATCTCCAGGGCCTAGAATAATGCTGAGCAAAGCATAGGCACTTAATAAATGCTTACTGAATTGAATTGATACATAATTCTCTAAAAGGCCAACTAATTGGGTTCTGTTAAACCTGAAGCCTCTTCAGTACAAAGCAAGGATTGTAAAACTAGATCCCTCAGGGCAAATCTGGCCTGCCACCTGTCTTTGTATGGCTGTGAGCTAAGAATAATTTTTACATTTTTAAAAGGTTCGGGAAAAATTAGAAGAATAAAATTCTGTACCACTTGAAAATTATGTGAAATTCAAATTTTAGTGTGCTTTATTGGAACACAGTGTCAACATAATGATTTTATTAACAAATCTAGATTTAGTAAGGAGAGATTTTATTCAACAGGATTATTGCCAGGCAGGGGGGTGTGGAGAACGATTACAGTAGGGAAAGGGGGAATTTTGCAATAGAAGGAAGGCTCTGACCATAAATCAGCAAGCATCTTTAGGCAAAAGGGGATTTTCTTTTCTAGAAAGGAATGAACAAGGTTAGAAAGAACTGAGTGTGCGGAAGTGAGGTAAAAGGGTGGTGTAATCTGACTGTAGGTGGAAAGAAAGACTATTTCATGCTGAGACCAACCTGTTTTCTCGGAGCAGTCCTTTAGGAGGGGCTGTATGCCGGCTCAGGTGAGGGCAGGCTAAAGTTCAGAGGCCTAAGCAAAGGTGAGACTCTTAACCGAAGTTTTGTTAAAAAGCATTTTGTTCCCGTTCATCAGTAGGGACAAAACTGTTCAGCTAATTATTTATGAGGCAAAAAATAGGAATCTGGAGGGTTTGTGCCTGGCTATGTCATAGGTAAACATGGGGGCATCCCTGAGTCTTATCTAAGTCACAGGCAAAGGTGCTTCTTTGCAGTAAACCATTTCCTAGAAGACAGCAGTGGTGAGGGGTGGTGGGGGGTGTCCTTATCCTTTCTGTTTTCCAGGATCACAGGGCTCAGGTGAAATTCACCATTGTCAGTAGCCATGCTCATCCATTTCTGTATTGCCTGTGGCTGCTTCCACGCTGCCATGCAGAGTGGAGTAGTTGCACAGAGACCTATGGTCCGCAAGGCTAACATTTACTATTGCTGTGTTACAGAACAAGTTTATCGACTCTCATATAAAGAAATTGTGGGGAGGGGAGAAGGGAGGAGGAATTTTGGTTGAATCAGTAACCATTTGGAATGACATAATATACCAAAATAAATATAGCTTAGCAAACTCTTACTCAGCCTCCCAGACTCCAGTGCCCTTCTGACTCCTGCTACAGGAAGTAGCCTCCTCTGGGTGCCCAGGACACCCTCCCATGCCCCGCTCCTGGCACTCACTGTATTGCAAATGCCCATCTCCTCTCCAGGTACTTAATTCCTTGAAAGAAGAATAAGACTTTGCCTTCTTTGAATTCTTAAAACCTAGCACAGAACCTGGAAATCTGGAGAATGAAGAAAACAACACGGGAACAAACAAACTTTGATATTCAAAGTCATTACTAACAACGTATTGCCAAAAACAAGTCTGGCTCCAGGGAGAAGGTAAGAACAATCTTTAATCACACCGTGCATATGCAAATAGCTACTGTTCCAGTGCACAGAAACACTTTGTTCTCTTTAGTAGGTTAAATACGCCTCTCCACAAATGTGTTAACATCCTTCCTTTGCTTAGCAAATCCTCTTTTCATGATCTGTTCAAAGGTAAACTTTATCCCCAGTTGGATTAGCATAACCTCCATATCTGTGTGCATGTATTAAGCTCATCTCACCCATCTTGAAAAGAAATTACTCTTCAGCGCCCACATTCACCTCAAATATCAACTAACTTTTCACTTTCAGAGTCAAACACCTTTAACAAGTCATTTACATTGTCTCTCTGAAAACTTACTTCTACCTTTCATAACTTTCCTGATAGCAAGTCTCCTTTAGGGGCTCTTTCTTTGCTGACTCTTAAATGCTGATGTTTCTCCAAGTTTCCAGGTAGCTTCTCCGCTAATGCTATGAAGTCTTCACGAAAGTGCTCACTTCCATGGCTGAAAGGACTATCTAAAGGCTCATCACAGACAAATCAGCACTTCCAGGACTTAACAGCATCTGTGAGTTCAGGGACTATAATTACACATTGTCTACTAGATAAACACCTCTACTTGAATGGCCCAAAGACAATTAAAACTTAGCATCTCTACAACTAAAAAAAGAACTAAAGCCCTTTTCCTCCCTCTCAGAGAATACCACCATTATCTACCCAGAATGTTCCTTATAGAATTAGTCACCAAACTTATTGGTTTTACTTCCTAAACGGTTCCCAAATATCTTCACATCTCACAATTCTACCTGCCTCTATAGTGCTTCTCATAACCATACCTTTACCTGGTTTTATCCCTATAACAGCTTCCTAACAGGTTTCCCAGCCCTCAGTATTATCCATTGTAGAACATCTTTCCTTCATTCTAAAGTGCGAATGTGATCAAGGCACACGTCTGCTTAAAAATACTTTAGGATAAGTCCAAACTCCCTCCTATGATTTAAAAGAACCTTTGTGATCTGGGACCTCCAGACTCATGTCTCACTTTCCTCTCTCTGCATCCCTCTCCCTTGCACCAGGTCACTCACACACACTAGCCTCCAGCCACACAAAAGATTTTTTTTTTTTTTCTGAATACGCCTTTCTCTCGCCTCCAATCCTTTCCACAGGATGCTTTATCTTTGCACAGTACCCTTTCCCCACCCAACCTTACCTTTGTTCCCTGCCAATATCTATTCAGCATTCATATCACAGCTTAGACATCCATTTCTCTAAGAAATTTTCTGTATGGCTCCTGCCCTACCACCACTAAGTCTGTTAGGGGGCCTTCCTATCGCTCTCTTAGAACCTGTACTTCTCCTCCCCCAGCACATATCACGTTGTGCTTTAATTGCCTATATCCTCATCTAGATCACACATAATTGGCACGTTTGGTGAAATCAGAACACATGTTTACAGTGGCTTGTCACGGATCCCTGAAAACTGGTACACTACCTGGCACATGATTGGTATCCAATAAATAAGTATAAAATAAGTGAAAGCATGACATCTGCTTGTCTGCACTTCAAAGGAAATTGGTGAAAGAAATCCCTTCTTTTGTCTCATTCAAAATAACTGGTACCGATTATTAAATAAGTGATTAATTTACAGGCCCAGATCTATGGAAATAACTTGAAAAAAACTAAAAAGCCAATGAGGCATGAAAGAATTTTCCACCCAGAAAGCCACTGTTGTTTGGTTATTGTCATTGTTTTTGTTGTTACGTAGATGAGTCTTGTTTCTTTGGTTGAATCTGGTAGTTGGGGGTGAGGTCCTGGAATGATAACGTTCATAATGAGATGTTCTTAAATGCTAAGTGAAGTGTACGTGTGCTTCAAACTCGTGGCCTTCTGTGAGTTCTTGTTCCATGCGGGCAATTGCTTCCCTTTTCCTGTACGTATGCGCTATCTGTTTTTTGAAGCCCACCTTGAAATGTGTTAACCTTGCCTCTGCTTCACTCCCCTCGGAACCCACATGCATGTCATACGCATTTCATTCCCCCACCCCCAGCAAATCTCCAGAAAATTGGAATGGAACTTTTAAAAAGATACAAATCATTGTAGGTTTGGCATCACCCACATCATCCATTTCAGTTGATTTGCTATTAGCATCTGTGACGAGGCTTGGAGGTGGCTGCCAAACCTTGAATGTCACTGAGATGAAATTTAGCTGGTGGGGCTGAAGCCAGGCTGATCACTGCTCAGACTGTGAAGCTTCATGATTGTCCTCTCTTGTTAGCATGCCTCTGTTTGAGCACAAAAAGCATAGACTGCTTTGCAAAATCTATCTTAATTAATCATAAATAGTGCCTGATGGGAAGATTGCTGCTTTCATCTTAGTTAAATAAAACACAATCAATAAATCCTTTTCTTGCTCCAGGTTTTCACACTATTGTACAGGTTGCCTCCTTACATATTTGAGATGCTGGAGGTCTAATCGCATCAGTGTGTTACTGATAGCCTCATTAGGCTGTATCATCAAGAGCTGTTCCCAGCCCCTTCTCCACTGGCAGAGCCAAGTCCCTATGAGTTAAATGGGGACATTGGAACGGCAAAACAATTCCACTCCTTTCCAGCAGCTAATTAAGAAGGAGTGTAAAGCATTGTGCTAAAGAGTTTGGTGAGTTTGCCTTGTAGCTCTTCAAGGGTGACCTTGCAGCAAATGGTGAAAGTACCGAAGAGAGTCACTGTTGCGTGGTAAATGGTCATCAGGAAAGTTCACATGCTACCAAATGGGTGGCTAAAGGTGCTAGAATGAGCTTGCCTTCTTCTCTGCCCCTTTGAACTCACAAAATTTCCTTTCCGTACAAATATAGAAGGCAAATAATGAAGAACTTAACAATCTACTTAAATGTACAATATACAATCAGCCTCTTGCACCAGTAATATAAATGCTACGTATTGGGGCTTAAATACAGCAGTTTACCATGGAGCACCCATGTCATATAATGGGGCTGTGTATCTGCATAACGAATAGTGTAATTGCCTTTCTTTCTTGCCAGCCTCTATTTACAGAGCTTAAAAAAAAGAAAAAAGCTAAAATTTCAATTTCCTATCTTCTCTTACGGCTTCAGGTGAGGCCCTCTGATACGGTTCTGATCAATGAAATATAAGGAGAAACCTGCTGATACCACCCCCTCTTCCATCTTCTTCCTGCCTGGTGAATGGGGAAATGAAGCAGTACTTGGAACCAGGAAGACAAAAGCTACGTGCTGAGGATGGCAAGTTAGGAAGACAGAAGGAGCCTGATTTCTTGATGCATCTGGATCAGCCTTACAAACCCTAAATTTCCTATGCCCAGACTTCTTAGTGCATAACATAAACTCCTGTGTGTTTAAGTTACTATTCATCAGGTCATCTGTTTCAGATAGCAGAATCCTATCCTTTCTGATGGAGAACACAAATGACTGGTGATTACTTTCTGCCTTTTTTCTAAAAACTCCATAGCTCGTTTACTCCATGGGTTCAAACTCTGTATCTGAGCATTGACAGAAGAGTGCCGTGTACAAAGAAATCAGACCTAATTCATCTCGTCTTTTGAAAAATGCAATGTATTCTTAACATACAGGAATTAATGCCCCGAAGACCTTATTCAATTCTCAAATTCACAAATACCACTTGTATTAGTCAGAATCTACTCAGGAAAACAAAAACTACCCTACGTACTTATCAGAAGGAATTTAACAAAGGGGATTTAATATGGGGAAAGAAGGGGCAACACTGAGATTACCGGGAGATAACAACAGCAGGGAGCAGTTGCTACTCCTAAAGCTGGAGGGGCAAACGAGAGGAGGCAGATGTAAGGAGTACTTAAGAGCCCAGAGGGGGAGCCTCAAAGAGTTGGTGGTCAGATCTTGAAAAGGAGACACTTCCTCGGAAGTGAACACATTTAGGGTCGCAGAGGAGCCTAATGGAGTTCGGGCACAGACCTCTGAAGAGGCGGCATTGCCCGACTGCTCTGGTACGTTTAAGGGGAGGTGATGAGGCTTGTTCCAGGAGTGCTGAAAGACACCGCGCCTCCTGCTGCAGCCAGGGTAACCTGCACAGGCTAAAGAGTTGCTGCTGCTCGGGTGATGCTGACAGGGCCAAGAGCACCCAGGAAAAAGAAAGTGTCTTCTCCCCTCCTTCTCCCTTCCACTCTCTTTCTTCTACTTCTTATTGGCCAAACCTAACAGGAAGCAGCTGGAAAGAGTCTGGTAAATGTAGTTCACAATGTTCCAGCCCCAGCATCACATCCCAGAACATGGCGTAATGGCGGTAGATTAGGAACTGTGACAATATACGCATAGAACTAGCGCAACCGAAAATGCAATAAAGAATAACTGAAGCATTAAAGTGATCCCATAGTGGTGGTATTAGAACAAAGGTTACTTCTGTAATTATCCAGCAATTCTTCCATAAAACCAAAATTCTACTTTTCAGGTTAAAAATGGTCATTAGGGCTTCCCTGGTGGCACAGGGGTTGAGAGTCTGCCTGCCGATGCAGGGGGCACGGGTTCGTGCCCCGGTCCGGGAAGATCCCACGTGCCGCGGAGCGGCTGGGCCAGTAAGCCATGGCCGCTGAGCCTGCGTGTCCGGAGCCTGTGCTCCGCAACGGGAGAGGCCGCGGCAGTGAGAGGCCCGCATACCGCGAAAAAAAAAAAAGGTCAGTAATTTTAAAAATTACCAATGTTATTTTCCTCATTTTTTTTCAAAATTAATACATAGTCATTGTAGGAAGATTAGAAATGGTTAAAAAAATTAGAAACTACCTTTAATTTTATCATTTATATTTCTGATATAAATACTGTCAGAAGTTTCACAACTTTAATAAACATAGATAATATTTATTGCAACCCATTAATCACCCTTTTAAATGCTTTGCATGTAATGTATCTTTTAATCCTCAGAACAACCCTGTGAGTTAGGCCCCTCAGCCATCAGACAGCAGATACATCACCAAAGAACCAAGACTTGAATTTGCGCTGTGGAATGATAAGAAATGCATATATTGGTCTCTGCCCCTGGTTCCTGACATAGAGTTCCTTTGGGAACTCACAAGGTTTTAACCCTTGCAAATAGGGGTGTTAGGAGAATCTTTTATTCTAACATATAATCTTTGACCCCCGTTTCTGACACAGAGTTCCTAAATCCTTGGAATTTCCTGGGTGATAGCAGTGTCTTTTCTTCTAATGAGGTAACTCATTCTGAGCTTCTGGATAAGGGCTGGGTCACCAGAAAGACCAAGCCATAATTAGAAGCTTGGAATTTTCAGGCCCATCTCCCATTCTCCAGAGAGGGGAAAAGGGCTAGAAATGGAGCTAATAATCAACCATGCCTACATGATGAAGCCTCCATAAAAATCCCACTAGCATGGGGTTTGGGGAGTTTCTGGGTTGGTGATCACATGTATATGCCAGGAGGTTTGCACATCCCAACTCCACGAGGACAGAAGCTCCTGTTCTTGGGACCCTTCCAGACCTGACTCTATGCATCTATTCATCTGGCTATGATCTGTATCCTTGATCATACCCATTATTATGTAAGAAACTGGTAAACATAAGTGTTTCCCTGAGTTCTGCAAGCTGTTCTAGCAAATAATTAAATCTAAGGGGGAGGTCATGGGGAGCTCCAATTTGCAGCCAAGTCAATTTGAAGTTGTAGGAACCTAGGGACCTACTACTTGGGATTAACATCTGAAATGGGGGGCAGTCTTGTGGAACTGAACCCCTTAACCTGTGGGTCTATGTTAACTCTGGTTATTGTAAATTAAATTGAATTATAGGACACCCAGCTAGTGTCACAGAGAATTGCTTGACGTGGAAAAAAATGCCACACATCTGATGTCAAAAGTGTTGTGAGTGTAGTAGTAGAGTGAGAGAGCACTGAAGCTGTGGTGGCTTGAAGTCCACAGCGATAAAGTGCCCTCCTTTAACTAGTATTACTGCCCAGATGACAACAAGGCATGCCAGTGCCCGCACTAGAATGGCTCTCCATCTGAAAGATAAACCTTGAGCTAGCACCAGAATTGATCCCCAGTGTCTCCCCAAGGGCAATGGGAGCACTGAATTCTTTTCCTTTCTCAGTCCTTTCCCATAACCCACCCTCATCTCCTTTCTTGCTTCTCCAGGTTCATGGTTGATAGTAGAGCTCCTTCAGGAGCCTCTGCCATTTTACTTCTCAGGAAGACTTTTCCTTCTCATAGAACAAGCTACCAGCTGGCCAGTCTTTCCTCGAACTGACTTCCTCTTCCGTTACACTCAGAAACTCCTGACTTGCAGGTGGCACGCGTTCTGGCCTCTTGGCCTGACGTAACTATTATCCCTTTATTTTGATGTTCTTTTAAAACGTTAGTAGAAATTCAGAAACAATTGTAGTTCAGTGCCTATGAACAAACTGCCACATTTACCAGAACCAAATTACCAGTTTCTATGACCTTGTCAATCTCGTTATTCTCTAATTCAGAAGTTCATTTATATTTCCACAATTAGTCTGAAGTGTTCTTTCAGAGTTAACATTTATATAAGGATTTATATTCCCACATCCTAGCAAAAAGAGTGTGATTCTGAAGCATTACAATATTACAGGTCACATCATTTGCAGATAGAAAAAGTTGTGAAAACTAGATGAACAATGTATTTCTAAGCACTTTCTAAATGATGGTGGACCAGGTACCCCCTGTGAATTTAAAAATTTTATCAAAGGAAGTAAATAATTTAATTTTATCAAAGGGAGGAAATATCTATGATTATCTTAGGCTCAGATCGTGGGATAGAGTATCTGTCAATCCAATGCTAAGTGCAGTTTTGCAGGGCCCATAGGGTAGCACTGAGGCAAAGGGAATAAAAATGAGAATGCCGTATGAGGATGAGACTCGGACAAGCAGTGCAATATCTATCAGAGAAACCAAACTTATATGTCAGTCAACAGTAGAGAATACCGTTTTCAAAACACCAGGAAAAGTTTACGTCATCATGGTGTCTTATAACTGCGAAGTGAAGTCTGTATCTACCTTTCGTGTTCCTGAATATTCTTGCTCAAGGTAACAGACATGTGCAGCAGGTCTCCACTGGTAATTTTCCAAGACAAATTTGCTTGTCTAAACATGGAATTATCCATGTGTCCTAACAATTCCTACTTAGATCCTGTAGGTCCTCCCCTTGCCACTAAAGAGTGACTTTATTAGTCATTATTAATAGCTGCAAAAAATCACCATGTAATTATTTAGAAAATATAATAAAACAAATTCCGTTAAATGAAGGTAATGGAAAAACGAGGAAGGATCTTTAAGGATTTAGGTCAAGGGGTCATCATGATGACATTCTGCAAGTTAAATAAAAGAATTCTTTATCTCACAAGCTAGTCCATCTTCTCAACAAACAGAATACATATTTGTCACTAGAACTGTAATACAAATTAGATCATAATAATAATAACTGCTAGAGAATTTGCTCAAAACTGAAGATGCAAAAGATGGAAGAGGACTGCGATAATGAATAAGAACATAAGGATGAAGGATAAACTTCAGCAAACAAAAAGCTGAAACTGGGAAAGTCACCTCATGCTGTCGATATTAAAAATGGGCCCATCAAGAAATCTGCCAATGTGCAAATACAGCTCTTCATCAACCTGCCAAGTCAAATAAGAGCTAAAATGATGGTCAGATGATGGGTACAAATCCATCCCCATCATCCACCTGGATGTCTATGAAAAATGACTTGAAAGAATGTCTAACTGACATTAAAGATTACTAACTAACTGGGTATAGGCATCAAAAATCAACAGGGCAGATGAAAATTATAATGCATTCTCAACTTGAAGACCAGGCAGGAAGTATTCTTTTTCCTATTCTTCAGTTTGGATCTCAGCACAACTTTTACACTCCCCTGAGGGCAGTGATCCAAGCCACTGCATTACCACTTTTATTAGACATATCCCCAATTCTGTGAATGGATTTGACTCTGAATATGCCCCAGGTACTTAAAGCTAACACTCTAAGTAGTAGGAGATGAGGAAAGGAGAGACAAAGGGGCAAGGCAAGGTTTTGCTGGATTAATGAGGCTATTTAGGCTCGGAACAAAATCATATAAACTTAGGATGTGAACTCTATCCACCTGTCTTATGTCATTGAAATCCACCCAATATTATGCCATTTGGAAAGCATATCATATATTAAGTTGAATTTAGCATGTGTCGTGGCCTCTCAAATTGGAATCATATTGGTCACCTCCTTTGAAAGTAATTAGTTGATTGGCTGGGTTTACACAGAGGAATCCAGGGTATGTAAGTCCACTTAACTTATATTCTAAGTCAAAATGTTGCTTTGGATCTAAATGTGACATTTCAATCAATCAGCAGCAATTATTACCCATTTACCTAAGATCCTGTGTTCAAAGAAATATAAGGAAGATCTTGGGGAGATCACAATCTAATTGATAAAATAAGAAAATAATTATTTTTTAGAAAAACAACCCAAGCAGGCCATTATAATTCAGCCCTTAACTGTTTAGTAGGGACTGCACATTCTTTAAGAGTTTAGGGAAGGTGACTGCAATGTTGAGCTAGAGCAACCAGAGAAACCTGAATTGCAGTGGTAAGATCTGAATGAAGCCTTGATCAATAGGATTTGATTAAGTAGAAAGGGGAGAATATTTTAGGCAAGGGAAACAGCACAAGCAGAGACAAGAAGAGAAGAGGGGGAAGAATTTTTTTCCTTTAACTACAGTGAATAAGCACTTCTCTGACTTTTCTTCATTGTTTTAACAACTATCTGTGAACTAGTTAAATGATGAATAGCCCCAGAAAAAAAGGTGAAGCATACAAATGAGTGATAGTAGATATTTTAAAAAAAAGAAAATCATCAGGAGTTGTAACCATAAAAGAAAAATTAAATTGCTGGGACTATATAATGGATTCAAATTTTCAATCACAAACTGATACATGCAAAATTGTAATTTATTTTTCTATAGCCAAATATAATTTCTATCATTAAGCTCCCATTCCTGCTCAGAAGCAGAAAACTGACATCAAGTTGCCTTCAGGTAAACTTCTTCTCATTCAGGCACTTCTCAGTCAATTCAGGTGTATAATGCAGCCGTATTCAGATTTTTAAAACCACTCTCAGATTTTACTCTCTCTCTTCCTTTCCCCATATGGATTCAAATCTCTAGAAAACTTAACTGCGATGACAAAAGCAATAATGGAGAAAAAAGGAGAAGCTCTATTCCATAGTCTGTTTATGGTTACATCATAAGCTGACCTTCTGTGAGATGTGCTCTGTCTTATGTGGTCTTCAGACACATCCCCTTCATGCTGATACCCACTGAGGTGAAAAGTCATCTGGCCAAAGATTTGGGTTGACGGTTTCTATTCCTGTTATTTTACAGAGGTGTCCTAAGTCTTGCCTCAGCCTTCGGTTTGTAGATCCAGTATGATTACTTGGGGCTGTAAGTGAAAAAATGTTGCCTGCCATATCAGTAAACAAAGGATATTGCAGCCATCAAGCCACTACAGCCCCCAGATGGTGAGCCCTGAGGG